AATATATTTAAAGTTTCTCCACTGTTTCTTTCTGTCACTCTTCAAATAAGTCAGTTTGTCACATTTACCATGTTAACTGGATTAGTTCACCCAAAAATGAAAATTATGGGTAACACTTACAACAAGGTTCCATTACTTAACACCAGTTAATGCATTAACTAACAATAACCAATACATTTTTTTACAGTATTATTAATCTCTTTTAATGACAGTTAATAAAAACATAATTGTTCTCTATTAGTTAATCTTAGTTTAGGTCCATTAAATAATATTAACAGATAAAACTTTTGATTTTAACAAAGCAGTACATTTTGAAATTAACAATAACTAAAATTAATAAATGCTTTAGAAGTATTTTTCATTTTTAGTTCATGTTCACTAACGCAGTTACCTAATGTTAACAAATGAAACCTTATTGTAAAGTGTTACCAAAATCTGTCGTCATTTATTCTGCCTCATGTTGTTTCAAACCGTTCTTTTTATCTGTGGAACATAAATTTGTTTAAATTTAAATTTATGTATAAATTTAAACATTTAGAATCTTAAAGAAATGTAATTATTGATACTTGTCCTTGATCTTGAGTGTTTTTATAACACTGGTTATAAAAGTAATATTTTAGTTGTGAATTAATCACTCTTGAGACTGTTCATTCAACGAATCAATGAATTCAGTGACCAGTTCTGGTCTGAATGATTTGTTCACAAATCCAACTGATCCGTTCGACTCACTGATCTAGTTGAAGCAGTTACAGCTCATTGGAGGTGAATATTATCATTATATGATGACTTAAATTTCGATCAGTTCAAATAGCTATTTTTTTTTAAGAAGTTGTACATAAACTAGATTTGTTAATGTTTGCTACTAGATCATTTTTATGGTGTTTTTGTGTCAGTTTTGAATCTTGAAATCCTGGGAGTCCACATTCATTATAAATGCATTTTAAAAAAGCATAAACTGCACATTACTAAAATTTCTCCACAGAAGAAAGTCGTACGGTTTGGAGTGAAAACCCAAATACTATAATCTTCTCACTGAAATTGTGTAATTTGTAATGAAAATTGCAGTAAAATGTGACCCTGGACCACAAAACCAGTCTTAAGTCGCTGGGGTATATTTGTAGCAATAGCCAAAAATGCATTGTATGGGTCAAAATTATCAATTTTTCTTTTATGCTAAAAATCATTAGGATATTAAGTAAAAATCATGTTCCATTAAGATATTTTGTAAAATTCCTACCGTAAATATATCAAAACTTCATTTTTGATTGCTAAGAACGTCATTTTGACGACTTTAAAAGCGATTTTCTCAATATTTTGATTTTTTTCACAACCTCAGATTCCAGATTTTCAAATAGTTGTTTCTCAGCCAGATATTGTCCTAACAAACCATACATCAATGGAAAGCTTATAAATTCAGCGTTCAGATGATGTATAGATCTCAATTAAAAAAAAAAAAAGAAAATTGTGGTCCAGGGTCACAATTATAAAAATAAAAGCATTTTCACCAGTGGTCTCAGACTTTTTGCATAGATTAGTGCTGTACCCATTTTGTGGAAATCTTATTATTTTACTCATAATTCCAACTAATGAGTCTTTGTGAGAACAGGGCAAAATCTGACCCATTTAACTTGGACTAGAGGGTCATCAGAACCACTAGTAAACACGTATCATTAAAACCCTACAACAGCATTTTTTGTTTTTTTTTTTGCTCCACACATTTATTTTACATTGTTCATATATTGCATTGAGCTGCATGTATTTGCATATGCTATTTTATTACAGTAACAATATTAAACAGAGTCAGTCTTTTTCTGTCTTTAAAAAAATATATATTTCTTGATAGTGGTGTCTAATATCAAATGTGACCCTGGGCCACAAAACCAGTCACATGTCGCGTGTGGGTCAAAATGATCGACTTTTCTTTTATGCCAAAAATCATTAGGATATTAAGTAAAGATCAGGTTCCATGAAGATATTTAGCAAACCTCCTACCGTAAATATATCAAAACTTAATTTTTGATTCCTAATATGCATTGCTAAGGACTTCATTTGGACAACTTTAAAGGCGATTTTTAGATTTTTTTTGCACCTTCAGATTCCAGATTTTCAAATAGTTGTATATCAGCCAAATATTGTCCTATCCTAACAAACCATACATCAATGGAAAGCTTATTTAATCAGCTTTCAGATTAGCTATAAATCTCGATTTAAAAAAAAAAGACCCTTATGACTGGTTTGGTGGTCCAGGGTCACAAATAGCCAGTTTTATTGCAGTGACAACTTTACTAACTACAGAAATCGGTTTCAAGTATGCAGGTAACTTTATTATTATTATTATTTTAGAATAGTGACTGTAGCTACTCTTTAGGTTACCATGGTCGTTTCCCTTGAGGGGAGTGTGTTGCTCACCTGTTCGCCCCGCACATCACACACATACGCGCTCACTGCATTAATGTTTGCATGAAATCCTTCCTTTACGAAAAACAACAGTTCACTTAAGCGCATCCACTTCTCTGTGTTCAACAGCGGATCACTTCTGTGTTTGCTTGAGTTACAAACAAGGTCCTTGATGTCGTTCCTGTTTAAATACGTCCATTATCCAGAAATGCTGCTCGTTAAGTGTCCTCATTTGAACGCGAACGAACTTGAACTGGAGGATTTACACCAAATCAAACTTTGATGGCAATGCAGCACCGTACCTCATGGCCCGCTTCATGCACTTTGAACAAACAGCTGATGAAGTCCGAGAATGTTTGGGCTAGTTAAAGAAAACCCGTCAAAAATAGTATATATAGGCTATGCAAAGACGCACTTGAACACATAAGCATTTGTAGGCGAGGCTCCAGCCGGTGTGCTGACAGCAAGATGAGTTTGTGCTCTGGTCCTCTGTGCTGCACATCACACTGTGTTCAGCTGAAGCTCCTCCTCAAGACATGTGACCTACTGCTAATATCATCCTATTCACTGCATACAACACCTCTGTTCACACACACCAATAATAACTAAGGAATCATAATAAGAAGAAATGTTTCTTGAGCAGCAAACCAGCATATTCAAATGATTTCTGAAGGATCATGTGGCACTGAAGACTGGAGTAGGCCTAATGATGCTGAAAATTCAGCTTTGCATCACAGAAATAATACATTCTTTTGAATATTGTTTTTTTTTTTTTGATCAAATAAATGCAGCCTTGGTGAGCACTTGTAGTAATACCGTAACATGGAGTTAATTTGATCACACTAGCACAAGAACGGTTATTGATTACAAAATGGCTTAGCAAATGCAACAAGAAAAGAGTGATTTGGAGGCTGGGTATGAGAGTGATGTTTTTATCGGAGTGGACATTTTCAGCATTTAGCAAAGCAGTGATTCTGTGTGGTGGCAGCACACACGCTTCCCTTCAGTGTAATAAGGATTTATGAGCTGGGGATCAACACATAGAAATGAATATTTGTGCAGCGTGTTAAACACTGAAATGTGCAATTTGCAATGATAAAGGGGCTGTGATTAAACCTGTCTTTTTGGTCCACGGACCGATTTTCATGCTAAAATTCACCTCCTGATGGTGATGGATAGACAGGATGGAAGGGAGAAAATAACATAAGTGAAGCTTGCATGCTATCTCTATATTTTAAACAATACAACTTTTGTTGAAAATAACTGTACTTAATTTTATTAAATATGCACTTCTAGTGTACTTCCAACCTAAAAGTATTTGCTAATAATTCAAGTTTATTTGTATAGCTCTTTTCACGATACAAATCGTTGCAAAGCAACTTTACAGCAAATTAAGTATTATTATATTAATAATTATTATTATATGATGCAATCAAACTTATAGCAAAATGTGGTAGTTCTGTATGTTGTTTCAAAAACCTTGGATTGTTTTGGTTATTTTCTATGAGTTTATGGATAATAATCAGTGTTGGGATGTAACTATTTACATGTAACAGAGTTATGTAATTTAATTACAAAATAAATGTGACTGTAATCTGTTACAGATAGCCTACTGAGAAAAAAAATGTGTAATTAAATTACAGTTAATGAAAATGTTAACGATTACAAAGGGGGTTACATCTAAATATTTGTTAATATCAATGTTAAAGTCAATGATGTTCAGGGGCCCGGAAACCATAGTGGCACCCCTGATGGTGGATATTAATAGTGACAGACTTTGCGATTGCACAGACAAGCTGAAAGACTTGTTTTCTGCGGTGTTGTATTTTGCATTCAGTTGTATGCTGCCCTCTAGTGGTCAAATGCCAGAAGGTCTAAACATCTATAGACTGTGACTTGGATTTGAACTGGCTGGTAGCAGGCATTGCTTTCTCTGCTCTACAGAACGAGAGAATAACTATGTATGTATGAGACAACCTAGATGCTTATTTATTTTAAACATTTAGACGGCAATCTCAAAATAGCCAAAACGTGCTCTCCCACTTTTTGTTGAATTTGTATTTCATCATAGCCATACGTACATACATAATCAGAAATAAGAAACATTACGTCCCTAACATTAACCTTATTATTTCTCTGGGTTCTTGTCTCAGTGACATCAGACCCATGAAACCATGTGATCTCAGTCAAACAGCAAGCCAGTTGTAAAATAGTTATGTTCAAATAGACTAGTTGTAGCAAAAATGTTCCTCATGACCCAATATCATAGACTGACCTCATTCAACTGCTGTGATCATTTTATACACAATCGCCGATTTTATCTTTTGTGTGGGTTAAGAGGAAAAACATTCAGGTATGACATTTTGTGACAGCATCTATTTATGAACCAGACATGAACCCCGTGCCAGCCAACCTCCATCAATCACATTACATGAACACACTGGATAGCCTAAGAGTGCATAAATCATAACAGTACATTCAATACAGATCAGTCTGAATTACTCATTTTATATATATATA